ACAAACGCACTGAAGGCGGGTGATGGAAGTAAATGGAGGGTTGTTGACTGACTGACTGTCCTGCCTCGCCAGGAGGGTTAAACGTGTGCAGGTGTGGTCAGGTGGTTGTCAGGGTTAGGTTAGGTGGTTGTATTTGCTTTGGTTTCTGACCTGTCATCGAAGTAAGGTGGACGAGATGGCACAAACATTCGGGACACACGATATCAGAATCATATCGGTAGATTTGGATTAGATTCGACTGATATTTCAAACCGATGATTAGCGTATTTATTGAACTCCAGAAGTGCAGAATGTTTAGGTGAGATATTTTGTTATTGTCAGTAAAGAAACAAACGTTGTGCTATTTTATATGTAATGCTAAGGCAGGTGGATTAATAATATCTGCATTTTAGAGTTGTTTATCTATCTCTTTATCTGTGCGCATGAAAAATATCACCAGTCAACAATTCCCACATCACTACATCCCTAAACATGATACAGTATCGTGATACACATCCCGAAATCCAGTATTTCTGAAGTTTGACCATTTGAAGCACAAAAAAAAGAAGCAGATTGACGTTTAAACATTAGGAATGCACCGATGTGGCCATGGTAATCCAATGATGTTGCTGCCAATACTTAAATTACAGAGATTGGATCTACATCTTCCTGGATCAGCATGACCGAGAAATAAAACATTCATTTCGTAGAGACAGAAATGCAGTAAAATGTATTTTTAAAGGTTTATTTCACTCATGACGATGTTTTGTGTTCAAATTAACCAAAAAGTGTCTAATTTTCAGCAGTGTTTTTGCCGACACCAATTAAATCGTGGCTGATAATGATGTCCCGCTGAGGAAACGGTCAGGTTCTGGTTACAAATGCAGTCAAATGAATACAGTGCAGATCTTTCAGTGCAGTAACCCAGAGTCTCCTTAACATTGATACTTTGGAGTTCAGTAAATTCATCCTTAAATATCAGTTTGAAGCGTCAATCAAATCTAAACATCTGTCCGATGCTGAAATATATTTTTTCCAAAGCGAATAACTGCAGAGGTCACTGTACGTCTCTGAAATATGCTGTAACTGAGTGCAGTGATTCTGCTCCACTGATTCAGTTAAACAGTGTAAATGCTGCTGTATTTGTAATGAGACATGCAGTTGGTCAGTGATTAATACTGATGACACCGGTAGTGTATTCAGATAAGCAGGTACACTGAGGAGAGTCCACTTCAGACACTCTGTAGATACTTAATTAACTGTCGTTACATTCGGCTAAATATCTACTAAATTGACCATGATTGTCTTTAAACCTGGCTCTCATCCTAACCCTAACCTTAATCTCAACCCAAAACCTAAACTCAACCCTCACCCTGGTCCTAGCCCTAACCCTGGTCCAAATCCTAACCATAACCTTAATCTCAACCCAAAACCTAAACTCAACCCTCACCCTGGTTCTAGCCCTAACCTTGGTCCAAATCCTAACCACAACCTAAACTCAAAACCTAAAACCCACACTCATCCTGGTCCTAATCCTGCTCCAAATCCTGACCTTAACCTCAACCCAAAACCTAAACCCAGCCTTCACCCTGGTCCTAGCCCTAACCTTGGTCCAAATCCTAACCTTAATCTCAACCCAAAACCTAAACCCAACCCTCACCCTGGTCCTAGCCCTAGCCCTAACCCTGGTCCAAATCCTAACCTTAACCTCAACTCAAAACCTAAACCCAACCCTCACCCTAGTCCTAGCCCTAGCCCTGGTCCAAATCCTAACCTTAACCTCAACTCAAAACCTAAACCCAACCCTCACCCTAGTCCTAGCCCTAACCTTGGTTCAAATCCTAACCTTAACCTCAACTCAAAACCTAAACCCAACCCTCACCCTAGTCCTAGCCCTAGCCCTAACCCTGGTCCAAATCCTAACCTTAATCTCAACCCAAAACCTAAACCCAGCCTTCACCCTGGTCCTAGCCCTAGCCCTAACCTTGGTTCAAATCCTAACCTTAACCTCAACTCAAAACCTAAACCCAACCCTCACCCTAGTCCTAGCCCTAACCCTAACCCTGGTCCAAATCCTAACCTTAACCTCAACCCAAAACCTAAACCCAACCCTCACCCCGGTCCTAGCCCTAACCCCGTCCAAATCCTAATCCTAAACCCCACCACTGTTCAGAATCAGCTGAGTTTCAGCAGATAGTTTGTGAACATCTGTAGATGATCTATAGTGGACGTTAGTGGACTATCCAAATAAAGTGAGACCGAAAAGCGTATTTTGAGCTAATTGGTCACAGTAACGGTGAAATGTCCTCTTGTTGTCCAGCCCTGCATTAAAGCAAAGTCCTGTTCGTCAACATGTGTCATCGCTGCGTTTTCTGACGGAGCTGAACGGCGTGCAGTGCTGGAACGTCTGCTGTCGTGAGAACGAGCCGCTCCAGCCTGTGTTTTATGATAGAGATGTGTGTTGTCGGTGTATCAGACTGTATTATTACCCTGACCGTGTTTACCTCTGTTTTCTCTGCAGGACGGTCTGGACGCTCTGGTCTATGACCTGGATTTCCCCGCATTGAGGAAGAACAAAAGCATCGACAACTTCTTAAACAGATGTGAGTCCGAGTTTCGGGTGTTTATGCCGAGGGTGAAACTTGCTATCAGGACAGTCTGGGGACGGTTGGTCAGTTTGAGGACCATTATAAAATAAAAATTAAAAAAAAAAATAAAAATAGTAATTAGGATTATTATTACTGATCTTATTGGTTGTAGAATTATTCCTTGTTTATTAATTAAAATTAAAAAACAAACTTTAAATAGTGGTTTTATGCTTAAAACCTCACAAATTACTGGCTTAGCGTTACTGCTAATGTCCAGGCTTTGTACCAAATTTCCAGACATCATGGAAAAACAAATTCTCCTCCTTCTTACAAAAAAAAACAGTTTGATGTACAAAAACATTGTTGAAGTTTGGAAACATCCTGTTGACTCAGTCAGTCCATTGTGTCCATAAACAGAAACTAAACTGCTAAAACGATTAAATTGTTTTTGTGATGTCACAAAACCGACACATTTGCATAGATCCACCTGTTCAAAAGTTATAAGGAGTGTTTCAGCCCAATCCTCACCCAAAACCTAATCCAAACCTTAACCTCAACCCAAAACCTAAACCCAACCCGTCACCCTGCTCCTAGTCCTAACCCTAACATTATATTTAGCCCAAAACCTAAACCCAACCCCTCACCCTGCTCCTAGTCCTAACCCTAACATTATATTCAGCCCAAAACCTAAACCCAACCCTCACCCTGCTCCTAGTCCTAACCCTAACATTATATTCAGCCCAAAACCTAAACCCAACCCCTCACCCTGCTCCTAGTCCTAACCCAAAACCTAAACCCAACCCTCACCCTGCTCCTAGTCCTAACCCTAACATTACATTCAGCCCAAAACCTAAACCCAACCCCTCACCCTGCTCCTAGTCCTAACCCTAACATTATATTCGACCCAAAACCTAAACCCAACCCTCACCCTGCTCCTAGTCCTAACCCTAACATTATATTCAGCCCAAAACCTAAACCCAACCCCTCACCCTGCTCCTAGTCCTAACCCTAACATTATATTTACCCCAAAACCTAAACCCAACCCCTCAACCTGCTCCTAGTCCTAACCCTAACATTATATTCAGCCCAAAACCTAAACCCAACCCTTACCCTGGTCCTAACTCTAACCCTGGTCCAAATCCTAATCTTAACCTCAACCCAAAACCTAAACCCATAAACCTCACCCAGCTCCTAGTCCTAACCCTGGTCCAAATCCTAATCTTAACCTCAACCCAAAACCTAAACCCATAAACAGAAACTAAACTGCTAAAGTGATTAATTGTTTTTGTGATGTCACAAAAACCGACACATTTACGTAGATCCACCTGTTCAGAAGGTGTAAGGAGTGTTTCAGCCTGTCCTGCTTGGTGAGAGAAGCACAGCCAATCAGAGCAGAGAGAGATTCCATTGACTTACATTAAAAGTGAAGTATGTTTTCCTTCTCCTGTAAAGTTACCATGTTTGGAGATGAGGGAAAAAGAGGGGCTGGTAAGGGATAAAGAGATTCGTCATGAACGTTTCGTTAAACAGGATGTGATGTACTCGGTTTGAATGGCTAACAGCTCCTCAAATTCTCAGTCGTGTACAAAACACAGTCCTGAGGTGTTTCTCTCTCGCCCCCACAGAAAAACTTGACCACAAAAACAAAAGCAGAAACATCCTGCTTTGCTGCCGACGCTGTATCACTTTGTCTGGCCAGATTTTCGGCGCTTCTCTCGAGTGATAAGCAGCTAGAATCGTGTACAGAATGAACCCCACATACTGAAACAGATCATCTCACTATGTGAAACGACAATACAAACACCAGGATTCCTGCTAAGTGACTTAGTGAGTGCGTTTACATGCACTCAATAGTCCGATCATAATCGGATTTCTGCAGTTATCTGATTATTCAAATGGTCATGTAAACACCATACTCCGATCTAGAAATCGGATAAAGAAATCTGATAAAGAGGCTGGATTTTAGCTCAGTAATCAGATTTCTCAGTGCATGTGAACTCTTACTCTGATTTCTTTCGGATTTCTTAGTCTGTGCATGCGTGGAAACAGACTGCTGTACTGGAAATTAGTGAGCAGCGTCGCCGCGAGACGCAGCAAAACACTTTGAAACCAAATACATGCTTGACGAAATGAAGGATTTAAATATTCTTCATCTTCTAGATGATGTTTGTTTATATTTTCAGGTAAAGTGTCGCAGTGTTGTTTTACATTATGTTTGCGTCACATCTTATTCTGTGAGGTTATTGGCTGGTTGTAAAGCAGAAATCTGATTACCGTCTGACTTGTGTAGACCCGGAGTTTCCCATTATCTGATTACTGAAGTGCATGTAAACGTGTCGATCGGTTTACTGACAAAATCAGATTTTTCTGCAGTTATCAGATTATTAAGTGCATGTAAACGTGTCGATCGGATTACTGACAAAATCTGATTTTTCTGCAGTTATTGGATTATTAAGTGCATGTAAACGTGTCGATCGGTTTACTGACAAAATTGATTTTTCTGCGGTTATCAGATTATTAAGTGCATGTAAACGTGTCGATCGGTTTACTAACAAAATCAGATTTTTCTGCAGTTATCGGATTATTAAGTGCATGTAAACGTGTCGATCGGTTTACTGACAAAATCTGATTTTTCTGCAGTTATCGGATTATTAAGCGCATGTAAACGTGCCGATCGGTTTACTGACAAAATCTGATTTTTCTGCGGTTATTGGATTATTAAGTGCATGTAAACGTGTCGATCGGTTTACTGACAGTCAGATTTTTCTGCAGTTATTGGATTATAAAGTGCATGTAAACACTCACTGATTTGGTATTGGATATGTTTCAACACACCAAGACAGGAAGCAAATATACAAGCGTAACTGTTGAATGAAACGCCTGTGTGGTTTAACAGGACAGTAAAATGTTACTGTTTTGCTCGTATTTGTGAGCAGATATGTACATCATAATGAAACACAGATGCCTGAACGTTGTTAAGGACGTAGCCTGGCTTTATTGCTAACTGCTCTAGCTGGTGTTAGCTAAGTCCAGAAACGGTGAAATTGAGTTTTCTGACAAACTGAAACAGTAGAATTCATTTTTCTGACCAACTAACATGTTGACACGTCGTCCACTGAGGAGAACAGACCTTGTGTAGATGATGTCGAGTCCTTATCAGCGTCCAGGTAGCTGTAGTTTTAGCTCATCTGAAGAGGCAGCCTCGGTTACTGTTCCAGCACACAAACCTACTGGATTCTCTGGTTTTCTGCTCTGCTGGCTGCTAAATTATTGTGCTACTGATGCTTTCAGCCTCTTAACAAGTTCAAATATCAAATTCAGATATTAAATTTGACAGAAACGCCCACCCCTAGTTTTTAGCCCCCCTTTTGTCCCACAGTGTTAATCAAATATCCGTTAATTAGCTTTAATTTGGAGGTCAGACTGCACAGTGAGTTGGTAACTGTGCGGTAAGGTTTGTTTCGAGAGCGTAATAAAAGGGCGAATTGGTAAGGAGGGGCAGTCGAGGTGGGGTCAGTAATGAAGGGACAGTTGGAGGATGGGTATCGTTTTTGGGTCAGCGCTCTCCATCGGACCGGGACCCCATTGTGTCTGCTGTTCAGAGTTCCCTCAACAAAAGAGCTTTCAGGCCCGCGAGGCTTGGTGACCCACATGGTCCCCTTCACGCTCTCTCAGGCCGTCCGTTAGGGGAGGGGGGGCTGGAAGCTGTTTGTGGGTGCGTGAGTTATTTTCGTATCTCAGTATGACTCAGTGCTTCGTGTGTGGAGGACTGCAGTTTGGGCTCAGTGAGTGCTCTGACGGTTTTAACCTTCAGCACCTGATAACCAGCTGCAGTCAGGCCGCGGCCAAGCGTCAGCCTCAGGGTCAAAAGTCAACATAACTGCTTTTTCGGGTGCCCGTTTTCTGTGTAGGGGTGCGTGACCAAAAATATAACATCACCGTACTTCTATGATACACGCTGCGTATTACTATAGTTAAGGCTCTTATTTATAATTTAAATATTATTTATACATTTACGATTTATTGTAGTTACTAAATAACTCATAGCAGTTACTGTGATTCATAAGTGCTACTGAATAAATAATTGTAGTTACTGAATAGTTCATAATGGTTAATTAGTAAATCATACGTTACTGAATAATTAGTTGTAGTTACGTAGCTCATATTAGCCGCAAAATGATTCATAGCGGTCACTAAGTAACTCATACTAGCTACTAAGTGATTTGTAGCAGTTACTGATTAATTCAGAATAAATACAGAAAAGTTCACTGTAGTTACTGAACGGTTCATAGTGGATACTGAATAGTTCATAACGGTCATTGAGTAGCTTGTCTTGGTTACTGTATGATTTATAGTAGTTACTAAATAATTAATAGTACATACAGAATAGTTCATTGCAGTTACTGAACAATTCATAGTGGATACTGTATAAAAAGATCTACAAGAAGTATTTACTGTATAACACAGTATATCACTATATATCACAGTGGTTACTGAATAATAACTAGTTATTGAAAAATTCATAGGTACTGTGATACATAGTAGTTACTGAAAAATAATAGCAGTTACTGAATAGTAGTTTCTGAATAACTCATACCACTTACTGAATAATTCATAGTAATTGCTGAATAATTTATAGTAGTTACTGAAAGTAATCATAGTAGTTATTGATAAGTTGAGATATAAGTTCTTTTTTCACTTTGGAGTCTTTCAGAGCTTTTAGGGTTTAGAGAGAAAGAAAGCAGTGACTTTGTTTAACATTCATACTGTTCTCTGTTTTCCTGTACACACATTTTGAAACGGTTGATTCTCACACGTTTCCATTTGCTGCATTTAAATCACTGTTTGTGATGTTACCCCTGACAGTGGTTAAACAGCCAGACAGGAAACAGGAAGAGTTGAGACAGTTGATCAGACTGACTAAATGAGAAAGTTCTGCTGAGAAGGTGTGCAGGATCTGTTAAGCTCAGCTGAACCTGCGCTGTATTCCAGCCCACTTTGATATCCTGGGCGCT